GTGAAGAAGAGTGAACCAAATGTTCAGAGCAACGGACAAAGCAAAGCAACCGCTCAGCTGCTGCAGCCCAGAAACGACAAGGTTGGTTTAAAAAAAAATAATAATTTTTATAAATGTTCAAAGAAAAAAAACAAATTGGAATTTGTTATTGCAGTCCAGGTTTATTTGCAAGCATACATTCAGTGATCAAAGGTTAACAAAAATACTAAAATTCAATGTTTTGATGAGACTAAAAACATCATTTCCTTCCTTAAATCAATATATACTTTTTATTTTTTACAGTTTGAATCTTTCGCAGCGTGATTTCATAAGGATTCTAGTTTAAAAGTAATATTTACTGAATAAAGGTTGATTTGGATTCATTAGTTTACAGGAACTGGGGGATTTATTTATATAAAAGTTGAAAATCTACCTTGAAAATGCTGAAATAAAACTATTACAGTCTAGTGGATTGTTCTAGCAATTAAATGTAGATGGAAGCTTTTTTTTCACTTAATTTTTAAGGTAGAAATAGGAAGATTTGTGGAAAATAGTTCCTTTATAACAGCGTAAGGATCTGAGCCAGAAACCAAATTGCTTTAAATGCAGCTTCTGTAAACGTTAGCTTGTTCTCCCGCAGAGCTAGACTGAATAATCTGAGTACTTTAGATCTATCGTAGCATTTTCTTCTTCAAAATTAAAACCTCGTATCTCCAGTTCAGATAGAAACCAGAATCTGCTCCTCTTCTCCTTCCAGACTCTGCTGGACATCTTCACCGGGGTGAAGCTCTTCCTTCCGGTCTCCGTCCAGGAGTTCGATAAACTGAGGAGGTACTTCGTGGCGTACGACGGAGACCTGGTGCCCGATTACGACGCCTCCTTGGCCACGCACACGCTCGGCGATCCGGAGGAGGACAGCGGGGCTCAGAAAGTGTCTCCCAGCTGGATCTGGGAATGCATCCGGAAGAGGCGCGTCGTTCCGCCCTGCTGAGAGGGAAAGACTTTAAATCCGCAGAACCAGGCTTTGGTTACAGGGCAGCTTTTGGGTTGAAGGTTCTCAGGACATTTTATTTTCAGCTTTTTAACTACTTTGGGTGACCAACAGGATTTCTTTGCAGAACAAACATGGAGTCTAAACTAAACAATAGGAGGGCTGTGCTTCACTACTTTTTACTGCAGAACCATAAAGATCATGAACTGAAAATAAAAACTGGTGCTTCTCTCGATGAGTCTCTGTGTTTTAAGGTAAAACCTGTGAAGATCCAAGCTTTCTTGTAACGTCTGGTAAATCTTTTCCTAAAGATCCCAAGAAGGAAACAAGCATCTAAAAAGATCAAAGTTTGTTTTATACTTGACAGAATTATTACTAAAATAAAAAAAGTTTTTACAGTTTTATTCTAATGCTACTTTCAGACCGCGAGCATCACGGCACAACAAAGGCTACGTTCACACTTCATTCAGATTTTTTTTTTGCGTTGCCGTTCATATTTCTAAATACATGCGACTCCTATGTGAACTGCAGTCATCCCGCATGCGCAGTAGAAGACGAAATGACATCACAGGTCAGCATGCTCTGTGTTTACGGTGGTAAACATGGATGGTAGCGCTGGAGAACATCTAGCGATCTTTCCCAACCTTAAAGGAATAGTACATCAGGCGCTCGCTTTCAGGAAATCCTATACACTACTGTTTATGCTCTAAAAA